CACATCGGTACTTACAACAAAATGTCCACAGAGGCTCTATAGGTGATGAACAGCACACAAGCACAATCACCAACGGCCACGCCGCGCGGCACCGACACTGCACACATCCTCTCTCGGAGACCAACGGCCGAAAACTGACAGATGCGCGCGGCCTTCAAACCGCAAACGGCTGATCTCGTTTCTGATTGGCTAATTGGTTCCATTTCAAATATCATCTTCACGAGGGTAAACAAGATCCACGCATGAAACAACTATCTGTACACGAGTCACGATACCCAGAAGGAAAGAGTTTCCATGATGTTCTGGATCGCGAGAGTAATATTGATATTTACATGGTAATAATACTCTACGCTGGCGAATAAGTTCATATTAACCACGTACCGTTACTATGCACATAATGGTAGCAGCGAGTTACCCTTTCAATATGCTCTTATCTTGCGGGTTTGATGAAAATGAACCCTCCAGGAGGTAGTAAAAAAGTTTTGAGTGGGATCGGATCGGATCGCGTCGGGGGAGTCCGATTTTTAAGCCTGTCTGATCGCTTTAAGTGCGCAAATAAGTAAGGCACGAGTCGAGCTATTGCAATGAATACAGAGCCGAAAGAAAAAGCAAGATTAAGATGAAATTTTCAGCTGGCCGATGTTAAAGGTATGGAGGTTTCACGTGGGCTTTCCATAAGAGCGCTATAAACGATTTAGATTAGATTGGCAAAGATCGGACTAAAACCAGTAAAACGCCTTATAGGGAGACAAACAGAGCGAGCGAGAGGGCGAGCCTTGCACGTGCGAAATTGTGAGGGGTTACCTCCAACTGACTTGTGCACGGCACCCTACTAACTAGTCTCTGGCAATGTGTCAAATTAGAGCGCAACCGGCGCGGCCCAGCCGTTCTCGAGATCTGGAAGCGGCACCCTGCACGTGCACACCTGCAAGTTGGATCCCAGATTACTTTTGCACGGCGCCTTTCTAATCGGTCCCTAAATGGTTACCAAATTTGGGCGCAATCGGTCCTGCCGTTCTCAAGATCTGGAATCGAACCCTGCACATGCCCACGTGCAGCAACATTCCAACTGTGTGACATGGAACTGAATTGCTTAGTGGGTGCCTACCTACATGCAAAGTTACAGCGCAATCGACCCAGTAACTACCGAGATATTGCAATTGTTACAAAACTGACACCCCTTCGTTTTGCACGTGGCATGTGCATAAGGGGCCACATGCATCGAAAAAGTATAATGCTTAGTGGAAGGAATCAAGCTTACCTCATATAAAAAAATACCGCAATTAAATCAGCCCAGCGATTGCTGAGTTATGAGACTCTCAAAAGCGTTACAGGCCGGGCCGGGCAGGGCCGCTCATACTGAGATTTTTCCGTTATGTGGGAAAGGCTCCGCTCGCTTCGCTCGCACCGTAATAAGCATCAAAGACTTTAAGCAACTGCATTTTAAACACGTACCTACACTGAAAACTTTTTTACCATTTCCTGGGGGGTAAACCCGCCATAGCATGGTAGCTTGACACACAGACGTTTTTTACCACCTTCCAGATGGTAAATTTTACTCTTTCATGGAGAGTAAACTCGTCAGGGAGGGGTAACGTGACACCCAGACGTTTTTTACCATCTTCTGTATGGTAAACTCTTTTGATTTACTCTTGTCTAGAGGGTAACATTTTCGGAAGTTACGCTCTTTGGAAGGGTATCTCTTTAATGTGACCCTCCTCTAAAGAGTAGCATGCCATCTACTCTGTGATTTACCCTCTTACAGAGAGTATACCCTTCTGGCTTACCCTCAGTCAAATGGTAATGCTTACTCTTCCCCAAAGAGTTTACCCTCCAGAGGATGGTAGCTTGACACACAGACGTTTTTTACCACCTTCCAGATGGTAAATTTTACTCTCTCATGGAGAGTTAACTCGTCAGGGAGGGGTAACGTGACACACAGACGTTTTTTTACCATCTTCTGTATGGTAAACTCTTTTGATTTACTCTCGTCTAGAGGGTAACATTTTTCAAAGTTACACGCTGTGGAAAGGTAACTCTTTAACGTGACCCTCCTCTAAAGAGTAGCATGCCATCTACTCTGTGCTTTACCCTCTTACATAGAGTATATCCTTCTGGCTTACCCTTAGTCACATGGTAATGTTAACTCTTTCCTTTAGTGTAAATCCCCCAGAGGATGGTAACGGACCCACAGACGCTTTCTTCAGAAGCTTCGCGAAGCTTCTGTTAACCGGAGTTCATCAACTAAAAACATGATTCCAGAGCAACAATATATTTGGCATGCCGTACAAACAATACCAGCCATGAACATTGTGAGACTCTCCATTTAATCATACGGAGTTATAACTCCGTATGAATAAGTGGAGAGTCTCATTCGATGGGCATATACGGAGTTATAACTCCGTATGAATAAGTGGAGAGTCACAATGTTCATGGCTGGTGAACCCCTCGTATTGTTTGTACGGAATGCCAAATATATAGTGTTGCTCTTGAAGCATGTTTTAACTCCGGTTATCAGAAGCTTCGCGAAGCTTCTGAAGAAAGCGTCTGTGGGCCCGTTACCATCCTCTGGGGGGGTTTACACTAAAGGAAAGAGTAAAATCACCATGTGACTAAGGGTAAGCCAGAAGGATATACTCTATGTAAGAGGGTAAATCACAGAGTAGATGGCATGCTACTCTTTAGAGCAGGGTCACGTTAAATAGTTACCCTTCCACAGCGTGTTACTTCGAAAATGTTAACTTCTAGACGAGAGTAAATCAAAAGAGTTTACCATACAGAAGATGGTAAAAAAACGTCTGTGTGTCACGTTACCCCTCCCTGACGAGTTAACTCTCCATGAGAGAGTAAAATTTACCATCTGGAAGGTGCTAAAAAACGTCTGTGTGTCAAGCTACCATCCTCTGGGGGGTAAATTATTTGGGGAAGAGTAAGCATTACCATTTGACTGAGGGTAATCCAAAAGGGTATACTCTCTGCAAGAGGGTAAATCACAGAGTAGATGGCATGCTACTCTTTAGAGGAGGGTCAGTTAAAGAGTGTCCCTTCCACGGCGTGTAACTTCGAAAATGTTACCCTCTAGACGAAAGTAAATCAAAAGAGTTTACCATGCAGAAGATGGTAAAAAACGTCTGTGTGTCACGTTACCCCTCACTGACAGTTTACTCTTCATGAAAGAGTAAAATTAACCATCTGGAGGGTGGTAAAAAACGTCTGTGTGTCAAGCATACCATGCTATGGCGGGTTTACCCTTCAGGAAATGGAAAAAAAAGTTTTCAGTGAACAAAGCGTTCAGCGATGCACACGCGGTAAATAAACATTACGATACAACTTGAATGCAACTTAAATATGAACACTTTAAATGAATACTTGCATATAAATAATAATAAAGCTCCCTCGAATTGGATAAGGCACAGCGCACAACATTTGAAGTGAACGGCAGCGTTCCTGGATTGTCGCCCGTCTACGTGGGATAATTAAACTGCATCACTACAGTGCATGGCTTTTTCTAAGTCGCCAACAAAATGCATCACAACAAAATGTATGTACCTACTTACAACACTCTGCCACGTGGCCGTGCACGGGGTTCTGTTAGCCAGATCAAACAAGCACCACTCAACAGCACGCAATGCTCTATCACATCGGTACTTACAATAAAATGTCCGCAGAGGCTCTATAGGCGATGAACAGCACACAAGCACAATCACCAACGGCCACGTGGCGCCGCACCGACACCGCTCACACCCTCCCTCGGAGACCAACGACGGAAAACTGACAGATGCGCGCGCGCCGCGCGGCCTTCAACCTTCAAACGGCCGATCTCGTTTTTGATTGGCTGATTGATACTCTTTCAAATATTGTCTTCACGAGGGTAAACAAGATCCACGCATGAAACGACCACCTGCACACGAGGCACGATACCCAGGAGGAAAGAGTTTTCGTCATGTCTAGGATTGCGAGAGTAATATTGATATTTACATGGTAATAACACTCTTTGCTGGCGAATAACTTCAATTGAACCACGTACCGTTACCATGCACATAATGGTAGCAGCGAGGTACCCTTTCAATATACTCTTATCTTGCGGGTTTGGTGAAAATGAATCCTCCAGGAGGTGGTAAAAAAGTTTTGAGTGTAAGCTTTATTGAAATTGGTTTGAAGTACCCATGCACTTCAAATATGCTCAACATTAGCCGTTATCACGACGGATATCTAATACATATTTGGTACACATTTGATGCAGATTTGGTGCAGATTCACTCATATTAGGCGAAGAAGTGGCATAAAGGTTGAGGTTAACCATGTCATACTATATAAGCGAAAAATAAAAATCAACGGGTTTTCTTCCCTCTGAAAGGCACATTTCCCAGTCACTTTGCTCGTCGACCTTTTCGTAGGTACTCGCGGAATCACGAATTTCGGAGAAGGTGGGAAGAGGGTAACTGTCAGTGACCCATTGACATGACCTGATCCGAAAATGGCTAAAGATAAAACGGGCAAGTTGATGAAGAAAGCTCAGAAGCCCTAGCTTTTAGGATATCTACCTTCTATCTCCACCCAGCAAATTAGTAGTAAGTGCCAAGTGGCGCAATCCTACAAATTCGCGATACCTATGCCGAAGAAGACTACTCTAATTAACAACTACAAGATAAGCCTTCAGATCTCCATCGTATGTCAACTTTGCTACCGATGGCACCCCAACCAAGCTGACGAAAACAAATGTGTAGGTTAGGTGCACACTTGACACACACTTGTCTCAGTGTTTGCCATTCGAAATGAAAAATTACAAATCTTGTAACAAGCTCTCGCACGTTCAGTAAGAAACAAATCTTATAGCCCAGCCGAAAAATGTCAGGAAATTGGAAAAAGATCATAAAAGCATGCTTCAAAGCATAATATCATGTTAGGGTAAGACGATATGGATCAAGAAAGTTCAAACACTGTATGCATTACATCCATGCCGGGTAGAGTACAGCAGAGGAGTGGGAGCCACGACCTACCGCGTCGAAGCGCCATGGCGGGACGAGTGCGCGCTGCTGCCTGGAGACGACCCAGCGGCGGTGGCTGCTCCCGGCACCTGACGGCCGGCTCTGGTGGCACACTGCGCGCTCCGCACCTGCCCACAGCCCGGTCAATAGTAACTCGCCGCGGCCGCCGCCGCCGGCCGCGCCGCTCGGCGGACACAGCGCCGCCCCGGGCAGCGGATACTCGCCGAACTAGAGGTGACGCAGCGTGCCGCCACACCCGAGATACTCTCGCGTGATGAGATCAGCCGATAATGCAGAATTCATCACAGGAGCAGGTCCGCCGGGACGGAACTTTCTGATGGAAAAACTTTAACGTTGGGATGGTTTGCAATCATGTTGCAGTCCTCACGTCGACAACTGCCGACCGGAGCCTGGTTCCCTCCCCGACATGTCCCTATGAGCTGAAATATCTTACCTATGTAGGTATACCAGATACCTGCCTAGCTCATTTTTTGTTTATTTTGCTATGTTGAACCACTTTGTGCCTTGATACCATTATACAGGACCATAGAAAGACCCAAGTCCTCCCGAGTATAGAGCCAACACATATTTATTCTTGATCACACTTCTTTGCTGCGGGTCGACCAGTCACCTTACGAAACTACGAATAAAGAGCAGCTCAAGCATCCAATCGAAGAATATCACCGGGGTGAACGTTTAAGTAGCAGGGTGGGAAGTCAGAAAAATACATTTTCTTTCCACCGGGAACGAAACTAGGCAATTGTTTGATGGAAGCAGCCATCACAGCATCAGACAATGCGCCATCGTGGTTCGGCGCTCGTATTAAAAAGGAAGGTCACCTGGGAGCGTAACGGGGGAAAATGCCTCCGATTGTGCAATCCGGAACATGGGAGAGAGAGAGAGAGAGAGAGAGAGAGAGAGAGAGAGAGAGAGAGAGAGAGAGAGAGAGAGAGAGAGAGAGAGAGAGAGAGACAGACAGAGACAGAGACAGAGACAGAGACAGAGACAGAGACAGAGACAGAGACAGAGACAGAGACAGAGACAGAGACAGAGACAGAGACAGAGACAGACAGAGACAGAGACAGAGACAGAGACAGAGCAGAGAGACAGCGTGAAAAAGAGGAAAAGAGAGATAGTGAGAGAGAGAGAGAGAGAGAGAGAGAGAGAGAGAGAGAGAGAGTGATAGAGAGTGAAAGAGAGAAGGATGGAGCGAGAAAGAGAAGGAGAGAGAGAGAGAGAGTAAGAGGGAGAGAAAGAGAGAGAGAGAGAGAGAGAGAGAGAGAGAGAGAGGGAGAGAGAGAGAGAGAGAGAGAGAGGGAGAGGGAGAGACTGGAAGATGGACTTACCTATAACGTGAAAGGGTGCTCAATGCCCAGCTACTGCTATAATGCAGAAAGAAGGGATAAAAACTTTAGAAAATCATGGGGCTAAATGTGGCCAAGCAAATTGCATGTCACCTACAGGATGTTTGAGCTAGAAGGTCCAAAAACGTCTATCAATGTAACAAATGCAGGTAAGTACCTACCTACCTACCTACCTACCTACCTACCTACACATCACAAAAGTTTTCGAGCTTCCCCTCTTCCAAGCAAAGATACAGTCACACTCTTAAGTAACACATGGCTATACCTACAACAGCCACGTGCAGCATACAGAGGAGCGCGACGCCGACGTAGCATCAATGTCAAACTTGTTACTCGGAACAAATCAATGACGCTGATTTGAAAGGTAAAATCCATCGACGACCATAACGTTATCATGCTTTTAATTGTTTATTTTCTTGTGGTCTTTGCTGATTCGTCTTTTTTAACCTTCGCCCTGGTGGGGGGGGGGGCCATTTTGGCCCCCCCCTGTGGTTTTTCAGCGATAACTCAGAAACCACTTGAGTTAGCGCCCTGAAACTTTGTATAGCTGTTTATTCAACATTTTTACATCATGTCCTTTTTTGGGGGGTTCGGGTCAGGTCAGGTCAGGTCACAAGGTCACCAAAACTGACACCACCTCTAAAAAAGTTCAAAGCTCTCTCAAAGGCACAGCTTTTATCCGATCGATGTAAAATTTACAGTACTTGAAGATGTCACCCAGCTCTACAAAATGGCTATCTCGGATTTTTTATAAATGTGACCTAAGGTCAGGTCAGGTCATCGCTGCTCCCCATTATAAGTCAATGGGAGAATCGAAAAGTAGTTGTTTTTCAGCTAAATCGGGCGTGATTGTTCCTATATTTCGTTATTGAAGTGTCTTGGGTCAGCAAATCACAGCCCATGTGAAACCATTTGCTTGTGACCTCGCTGAGGTCACGCTAGGTCATCTCCCTGGTCACCAGAGGTCACCAGCGGTTTTTCTGCACTTACTTGTTATTGAATAGAGATAGAGACTCCGTTCGACGTTTATCGTGTTTGTCTCGTCAATGCGGATCGAATGATATGCAGCATGACCTATTTCGGTAAGGTCATGACCTTGACCTGAGGTCAAATTTTCAAAATGACCTTTCGAGGTCAAACTATATATCATTCGACGCGTCTCGACGAGCCAAGCACGATGGTGCATGAATCGTTTCTCTATTTTCTCGTGAATGCATGCTATAGTTAAAAACATTTTCAACGAAATTTGCCAAGTTGACCTTGCATGACCTCTGTAGGCCAAACCGTTGAGCTGAGGTCAAATCTGACGAACCTTGGCGAAAGAGCTTGAAAAGAGCTATCGATTGCTTTTTTCCGCGGCTCTCTAGCTCTTCTAGTTTCCGAGCTACAGCGGAATATGTCCGGCAACACCGAAAACACTGAAATTTGACCTATGATGACCTCTAGCGACCTCAATATTGACCTTAGCGAAAAAATGACCGAAATACTTTCGAACGTACTTGTTATGGGCTTTCGTTTGCTTTTTTCCGCGTCTTCCTAGCCCTCTTCGTTTTCGAGTTAGACGGGGGGGGTCATTTTGGCCCCCCCCCCACCAGGGCGAAGGTGGCTCAGACCCACACCAGGGCGCGGGTTAACAACCTACGGCGGTCTGGCGATGCCCAGCATTGCCCTCTCAGGTAACACAGCTATCTGTTCACTAAGGCACAATTAATCCGACATTCGTGAAGACAATCATTCGACTATGTAATACGCTACCCTGAGCTGCTGCCGTTTTGGCGCCGCCTAGCGCCTGGACTCCGCCTGCCCGCCGTACGCCCGAGTGGTGCGGCACAGTATACCAGCGCAGGCACCTCGGCGGCCCCGGCGGCCATCTCCAGCGCTGCCGCCGTAATGGTTCACCGTCACGGGTCGTGGAGCGGTGTGGACTGGGACAGTGCCTCTGCGGCCGCGCTGCAGGGTGACTTGTGCTTACGAAGAGGATCCTCGGTGAATGTGTGCTAACATTTGCTTTCGAAACTTGCTCTGTCCATGCCGTTTGTGTGACGTTATCGTGCACTTGCCTATCACTACTTTGAAGTAGAGCCCTCTACAAACTGCGTGGTAGGTATTCTTTTTTCGACAAAAACGACAATAACGCGAATACTATGCTATTGGTCATTCGGAAATCGTGACAGCAAGACGCGCGAGACTCCGCACCTTAAATTGGCATCATCACCGTATTCATTTTCCATCTAGTTCGGTAACAAAACCCAAAAGTGCCCCCAAAACAAACTTTTGCATTTTGTTGCCTCACAAGGCGTTTATCTTGTTTAGTGATAGACCTAATCGAAGGAGTGGATCATTGCGCATCTATTTGCAGTGAGTTCCGACCGACTGATAGCATAGCCTTTGAGTTATCATCGGTTTTGTCGAATAAAGAATACTTACCACGCAGTCTGCTGAGGGCTGTGCATAAGTTACAGATGTTGAGGAACGCTACTTTTACCTATACCAACATTACCGAGAAAAGCAGACAAGGTAGGTTACTATTATAATGTTATTATTCAGATGCGATTCTGACGATTGTCTATTCAAAAAAAAAAAGACAAACACAAGTAAATTCTTAATAAATTGCTCAGGAAAATAAAAATTGCAGACATCTTGAAAACATCGTAAACACATTGTACGATCCTCGCCACTGAGATGCACTTGATGCCGCAAATAACCTCTTATGAACGTCATCTGGCTCACAACGTTACACATCGGTCGGGGCGGCGGGTCTGAGGTCGCTCAGCAGTCAGCTCAGGCGGCGGAACGGGCCATCGTCGCGTCCACACCGCCATCGCCTGCGGGCAAACGGCGACCGGCGCACCCAATATCGGCCGGGCCGGCGGCGTGCTGCGCTCCCCCGGCCGCGCGGCCCACAATATACCGTCACGTGACCGGGCGCACAATGGCCCGGCGGCGTCACGTGACCGGCGGCTACAATGAGTGCGTCCGGCGGTCGCGGCGGTTCGCTGGCCGCCGGCGCTGATGACGGGCAGGAGAGGGCTGTGACCGCCGGCTGCCGTCCGGAGCTTAATGGAAGGAGGAGAGCAGGGCGGCAGACGACGGGACGTACCCGCGGGCGCGGCGGGGCACTGGACGCCCGCCCCGCCCCGCCCCGCCCCGCCCCGCCGGGGTTCGATAGAAGCGGCCACGCAGCCGCTGTCAGAATGATGATGCGTGTCAGACGGAAAGAGGAAGCGTCGCAGTAGCCGGCAATGTGGCGAGACGGTTGAGCTTTGCTGTGTATGGCTATTCGGCTATCTGCGATCCCACTGACCTTTGACCAAGGCGTTTGACATAGAGCTTAAAAATCTATTCAATGAGCTTTATTAACCCTCGCCCGTTTTACAGCCGCTACCGTATACGAGTGGCGGAGGCAGGGGGGGGGGGGGGGGGCAGGGCCAGGGTCCATTGGATTCCCAGCCTTTAGGCCCCTGGTCAAGCTAGAGCTTTGTGGGATTTGGGAAAGAAGGAGCGTGCTGTCCACGACGAGACAAAGCCGATGATATCCGATTTTAGGGACCTGAGTCATTGGTAACTACGTTAACCCGGCAGTTGCTGGGGTATTTCGCCACGGCCACCGTTTGCTGGGGGGGGGGGGGGCGTTAAACGCCCCAGCCGATAACTCGAGAACCAATAGGCGCAGCGGAACGCACGAGGCGGCAAACGAAAGAGCGCGACGAGACGCTTCAGATGAGTACTTTAAAGTTGAATTTTGAGGTCACAGGTCGGTCAAGGTCAGGTCAAACACCTG